CAAGTACCCGGCTCGTTGGCACAACCACGTCTTTCACACCTCGCTGAAGATGTTATGGCAGCGGTCCTTACACCCCTTTTGCTGATAGTGGACGAGCCCTGTGGATACAGTTGTATGTGTGGGTCGAGACACGAATTCCTGACATATGTGTCATCTCTGGGCTGGCAACATTATTAGATGATCGAATGTTTATTGGTCTCAAGTTTATTGGTCTCAAGTTTATTGGTCTCAAGTTTATTGATAGTCTCAAGTTTATTGATCGAATGTTTATTGGTCTCAAATTTTTGTGTCTCAAGTTTATTGATGGTCTCAAGTTTATTGATAGTCTCAAGTTTATTGATCGAATGTTTATTGGTCTCAAATTTTTTGGTCTCAAGTTTATTGATGGTCTCAAGTTTATTGATAGTCTCAAGTTTATTGATAGTCTCAAGTTTATTGATAGTCTCAAGTTTATTGATCGAATGTTTATTGGTCTCAAATTTTTTGGTCTCAAGATTATTGATGGTCTCAAGTTTATTGATAGTCTCAAGTTTATTGATAGTCTCAAGTTTATTGATGGTCTCAAGTTTTAAGATGGTCTCAAGTTTATTGGTCTCAAGTTTATTGATGGTCTCAAGTTTATTGATGGTCTCAAGTTTATTGATGGTCTCAAGTTTTAAGATGGTCTCAAGTTTATTGGTCTCAAGTTTATTGATGGTCTAATGTTTATTGATGGTCTAATATTTATTGATGGTCTAATGTTTATTGATGGTCTAAAGTTTTAAGATGGTCTCAAGTTTATTGGTCTCAAGTTTATTGATGGTCTAATGTTTATTGATGGTCTAATGTTTATTGATGGTCTAAAGTTTTAAGATGGTCTCAAGTTTATTGATGGTCTAAAGTTTTAAGATGGTCTCAAGTTTATTGATGGTCTAAAGTTTTAAGATGGTCTCAAGTTTATTGATGGTCTCAAGTTAATTGATGGTCTAAAGTTTTAAGATGGTCTCAAGTTTATTGATGGTCTAAAGTTTTAAGATGGTCTCAAGTTTATTGATGGTCTCAAGTTAATTGATGGTCTAAAGTTTTAAGATGGTCTCAAGTTTATTGATGGTCTAAAGTTTTAAGATGGTCTCAAGTTTATTGATGGTCTAAAGTTTTAAGATGGTCTCAAGTTTATTGGTCTCAAGTTTATTGGTCTCAAGTTTATTGATAGTCTCAAGTTTATTGGTCTCAAGTTTATTGATGGTCTCAAGTTTATTGATCTTAAGTTTATTGGTCTCAAGTTTATTGATGGTCTAAAGTTTTAAGATGGTCTCAAGTTTATTGGTCTCAAGTTTATAGATGGTCTCAAGTTTATGGGTCTCAAGTTTATTGGTCTCAAGTTTATTGATGGTCTCAAGTTTATTGGTCTCAAGTTTATTGATGGTCTAATGGTTATTGATGGTCTAAAGTTTATTGATAGTCTCAAGTTTATTGATAGTCTCAAGTATATTGATGGTCTAACATTTATTGATGGTCTCAAGTTTATTGATGGTCTCAAGTTTATTGGTCTCAAGTTTATTGATGGTCTCAAGTTTATTGGTCTCAAGTTTATTGGTCTCAAGTTTATTGATGGTCTCAACTTTACTGGTCTGAAGTTTATTGATGGTCTCAAGTTTATTGATCTTAAGTTTATTGGTCTCAAGTTTATTGATGATCTAAAGTTTATTGATGGTCTCAAGTTTATTGGTCTCAAGTTTATTGATGGTCTCAAGTTTATTGATGGTCTAAAGTTTTAAGATGGTCTCAAGTTTATTGGTCTCAAGTTTATTGATGGTCTCAAGTTTATTGGTCTCAAGTTTATTGATCTCAAGTTTATTGATAGTCTCAAGTTTATTGGTCTCAAGTTTATTGATCTCAAGTTTATTGATCTTAAGTTTATTGGTCTCAAGTATATTGATGGTCTCTAGTTTATTGATGACCTTAAGTTTATTGATCGAATGTTTATTGATGGTCTAAAGTTTAGGTATTGCTGGCTTAATTCAATGTGTGTGAGGACGTACACACTTGTCATAGACCCAGGTTTATCCCAGGTTTATCCCAACGATCAGATAATACATGAAATCCTTGTATCCCAGCCATGAGAAGTAGCATGTCATCTAATTGTCCCAGCGATGAGAAGTAGCATGTCAACGGACGCAGGTTGTGAGGCCTGTGACGTAACAAGATGGCGGTCAACTTCCGGGTGAGTGGTCCTGGTGATTGACCTGCTTGATTAGGTCCGGATGATTCACCTGCTTGATTAGGTCCGGATGATTCACCTGCTTGATTAGGTCCTGATGATTGACCTGCTTGATTAGGTCCGGATGATTCACCTGCTTGATTAGGTCCTGATGATTGACCTGCTTGATTAGGTCCTGATGATTCACCTGCTTGATTAGGTCCTGATGAGATTAGGTCCTGGTGATTGACCTGTTTGATTAGGTCCTTCACCCACGTTCAGGTAAGACCAGGTAATGCCTACCGCCAAGGTTTTCTCCCTAACTGAACAGTAAATAGTTAGAGCATGCGCGGACACACATGGACTGTTATTTTTCAGGAATACAGGACGCACTGACGCGTGAATACAAGACGCACTGACGCGGTAAGCTCTTTCCGAAAACTCCGCACTTTCAGCAGTCTGGAGGGCCGGGAAGTGTCCGGGCCCACACAATGGAGCTCTTTACTCGTTCTCTGAGGGGTGGACGTGCAAATACTGAAAATAAACACGGCAAGTATTGGAGTATTGGCAGCGGAGGCTAATCCTTAGCCAGGTGTGCGGATTAATAGCGACGTCACATGGATATTCGGGGCTGGTGGGCTGGGGGTTGATAGACTGGGGGGCCGGGCAAGTGGTTTTCAAGCTCTTCATCTTCGCTCGTCGATTAACGTATGGGCTTGGACAATACGCGCGGGGCGTGCAACACTCTCTGGTACTGCTGGCGGCGTCCTAACACTCCAATATTCATACAGTCATGGGAGAATGGGGGCGCGGGGGCGTTCAGATCAGAAAACTAAACTTCAGTGTCACCTCAACGGTTGCGTGTTTTTATAACTAAATGTCGTCTTCTGTTGTGGAATTTGGACATTGTCCGTGACAGTTGGACTCTGTCACGTGATGACCGGCCACCCGGGAGTTTTGGTGCAGGTTGACTGCACTCATGCAATGGACGCCCCCCTCCCCCTCCATCACGTGGTCGCGGTCCATTGTCTTGTGTTTTTATTCCAAGGTAAACTCTGAGTTATTTATAGATGGCAAACACGGCGGTCGGCCAATCAGAGTGAAGAAACGAGTGCCAAAATCCGGGAGCTTGGCCGGTTAACTATTCACACGACGAGTGCGTCACGCTTGTCAGTGCCGGTTCAACCGGTGCAGTACACGAAGAACCGGCTCTAAAAGTGAGAGAAAATATTATCCCACACGAGTAGGTACACACAACATCCCCCCCCCCCCCTCGCAGGATTCTTTACTCTTCTGCTCGTGTTATCACTCGATTAATGCCCTTGTTTTCTGAAAGGGACGCGAGAGTGAGTAGAATTAAGGGCGATAATTCAGTGGCGATGTTGTCGTAAATCAAACAGCAGGCTAAAGATAACATCCCATTTGTGAGAACCAATATCGAGATCAATGGCGTTCAAAGATCGATAGCTCGACACGCAACAGACACATTTTTGTATTCATCGATAACTTGTGTAAACGTCATGGGGCAGCAGTAACAGCTAGACAATTCGCCAGTCTTTAAAAAAGTATAACTTCCTTTCAGAAAAAAAACGTTTCAATCCAAGAAGGATAATAAACTTTTGATGCGATGTATCAACATTGGTACAAATTAATTATTTGAATACCTGACGCTAATTCCACTCCACTTTCACCACCAACGGCCAATAAATGTAAGACCCCCCCCCCTCACCCCCCCCCCCCCCTAGGCGCGACGCCATTTATCCTCAATACATTTTTGTGATCTTCGATACGTATTTATCGAAATACCTGAATTGATTCTTTATAAGGGACAACAGCTGGTCTCAAAGTTCGCAATAAAAAACAGGTCACCACACAAACACTCACACGCAATAAAACAATGCGACAGTAAATGTTCTAATTATAAAGAAAAAATGTTGATGCTTACTTAAACCTACTGGTGATAAAGTAAATAGCCCCTGCGTTTACTTAATTGAGAACAAATATTACACAAGTATCCTCAATATTTCAATAAATTATTTACGTTAACTGGTCAATTCTAGTGTGTGTTTATTTGTTTACGAGCTGTTCAGTTTGCACTACAAAACAAATGTTGTCGTCAACGAAACAAAACTTGTCTCAAGGGAGGCAATACAAATAAATTGTTTATGCACCCAAGTTACCTCCGTTTATTTTTAAATTATTTATTTGGAAAAAAAATTTATTTGAAGATTAAACATTTTTAAATATAATATTTTAATTTAAATTCGAATCGATATTAAGTATACAGTTTTTCGATTAAGTAACTCACTAAGGGTACCACATTAATTACTTAAAATATTTAAAATTATAATAAGCTGTATGTATTTACACTAGTCATACAAACTATTAATTTTTTTAACTCAGTCTTACTTAAACGTATAGAAGCAACCATTCCCATAAATTCTTGCAAGTAATAATCAAAATGCTTATACTTCGAAATCCAAATAGCAAAACACACACACAACTAGTTTGGCTTTATGTTAATAGTTAATAAGAATATTATTATTTAGTCAAATTAATGTAGAGAGCAGTGCCGCACATAATACGCAAGAAATTTAATTTGAAAACTATAGTCATCATATGGGTAAATCATGTTTTTGCAAAACATGTAGAATCTAGATCTAGATCCTAGACTAATATTATAATTACAGATAGATCTAGATCTACACTTTTAAAAAAAAACAGCATTTCTTCTATTTTTGCAAAATATGCACAAATCTGTATAATTAGAGTATTAGAGTAGTTTCCCTTAGATCTGTACTAGTCTAGATGTAGATCTAAATGTAAATATTGGCAAATAAAGCCAAAGCATATTCCCATTCATTAAAATCTATTTGATCTAGATTTCTAGATCTAATATTAAATCTAGATTAGATCTAGTTGATTTAGTACTAAGATCCAGATCTATATCAATAATATTATGATAATAATAATAGATATATAGGCCTAGCCATAGGTCTATCAGATTAGGCCTACTAATTCTAGCCAGAGGCAGAAGAAGGTGCGTAGCGCTACACTACTCACTACAGTACACAGCGGCTACACAGTTGGTCTGAAGTAATTATTATAATTAACTTAGCTTAGTCTTACTTATTAACACTTTACAGTGATCTGGTTTTTGTTGTCATTACGCTTGCTGTTTACTACTGTTTAGGTTTTAAGTCTATTTAAAGTATTAAATCTATTTAGTAGATCTAGAATCTACACAACAGGGATCTGTTAGTTTTCTTGATGGGACAGGCCTACGTTTTTATTAAAAAGATTGTAGTCCTATACTCAGATACTGTATACTTTACTTACAGACTAGAATCTAGATCTTAGATCTCTTTACTTTACATTTTCTACTTTAGATCTAACTAGTTTTTAAAACTATAGGCCCTAGTATACAATATTATTCTTTATAGTTTTGAACCCTCAATTCCTAACGACCCACTCAAAGAACAACCGCTACGCGCTAGACCTCACTGTACAGTTAGTTGATTCAAAAGAATTTGGCTAAAAGTAAAAGAGTAATTATTAATTACTAATTTAAGCCCACTGCGCACATACAATGATCAATGCGTTTTGCATCTTCTGCCAGCCTGTCTAGAGGCTGGGGTCAGAAGCTTCTTCTGAGTTGTCACTTTCTTATAAATTAAATTAGAATAAGTTGATAGGGGTCGACCTTAAACAACATCACACCACTAGTGGTACAAACATCACACCACTAGTGGTACAAACATCATCACACCGCTAGTGGTACAAACAACATCACACTACTAGTGGTACAAACAACATCACACCACTAGTGGTACAAACATCACACCACTCGTGGTACAAACAACATCACACCACTAGTGGTACAAACAACATCACACCACTAGTGGTACAAACAACATCACACCACTAGTGGTACAAACAACATCACACCACTAGTGGTACAAACAACATCACACTACTAGAGGTACAAATAACATCACACCACTAGTGGTACAAACAACATCACACCACTAGTGGTACAAACAACATCACACTACTAGAGGTACAAATAACATCACACCACTAGTGGTACAAACAACATCACACCACTAGTGGTACAAACAACATCACACCACTAGACTAGTGATACTGTTAAGGTCTAGATTTTTCTGATCTTGTGGGATGAGTGGGCATCTTAAATGTATTTTAGAAAGACCGCAATTGATTTTATAAAATTTAAATTACAATTTTGAGGGTAGAGTGGTAAGTTGTTGAGATCAAATGTCATTTTAAGTGGGCGTGTCTGGCTTTATTTGACAATGGGGAGAGGGTGAGGAATAAACAGGTTTTTTTACAAGTGTGGCGTCTATGGATTAACTTAAGTAAGTCATTAGTAAGAGCTTAACCTTACTTAAGGAAACAAGTAGTGCTCTGATTTTTATAATAATTATATTATATTAGGCGCCTATATTTTAATAAGAAGAGCCTACATTTTAAACATTATCTATTGAAATAAATATCATAAAAATCTAATGCAATCAACAATTATTTTGTTCAGCATCAACCAAGGTTTGATCTGGCCAATACATCTCAATCAAACTTGTCACTAGGTCCCACAAGAATTAGATGCAAATGAAAAAAATACATTTTCAGATTTGGATTCTAGTGATTTCATGAAGGCATCTAGTTTTTTTAAGAACTAGTATTAATACATTTAAAGTATAGTTTTCTTTTTTCTATTATGGGCAGCTAAATGTGCATGCAAAATCATGCAAATTTATTCAATTCAGCCAAAGAAAATTAAAGGCTATAGTATAATTTTTAAGGCATTAGTAAAAAGTATAATCTGACGGGTTAACTTTTATAATCGGATAGTTGACTGTTCCCTAAGATTGTACAAAATTTTGTTATAAGTTTACATTCAGACTTTATTTTTATGGTTTCAGTTGCTCTGTAAGAACCAAATTAGTTTGATGAAACTGCTAAAGCTGGTTACTTATCTGAACTTTGGCTGGGTGTGACAAGATTCTGGTGGGGGAAATGGCAACATCCATGGTAGATTTACCAGACATAAGTAAGCCTTGATTTTATCATTGGTGCTTGGGCTTTACTGATTAGTGGTATGGTAGATAATTAAAGGTCATTTACTGTACTATTATTAATTAAATATATAGTTTTAGTCTTAATTAAATATATAGTTTTAGTCTTAATTAAATATATAGTTTTAGTCTTAATTAAATATATAGTATTAGTCTTAATTAAATATATAGTTTTAGGCTTGATTAAATATGATAAATATGGGGGTAATTTATAGCCAAATGCATTAACAACATAGTGCTACTTTCAAATGTACATTTTTTGTTGATTGCATGCTAGTGTCGATATTTTGTGTTTGTTGATACCATGTGTGCTAGTGTCTAATACCTGATTGGTGGATTATTTGTTAAGCTGTGGATGAAGCTAAGAAAGGATTTATCCGAGTGAAGTTGGAGACGGATGGTCTGAAGGCAGCAGTGAAAGGCAGTGAGCATCAACAGCCAGAGGCAACCAACGCAGAGATTCTACACACCAAGTTTCATTCAAGGTCTGATAGTCCCTCATTGTCTGTCTTCTTATGATCTGTTTGACCCTGGTCTGATTTTATCTGTCTAACCTGCTCTTATGTCTGATTCAATGTCTGTCTATTGTACTCCTGTTTGATTCAATGTCTGTCTATTATATACCTGGAATGATAAAAGCGGATGTCTAATTTTGTTGAAGCCAGATAGAATGATTGAAGCTAAAAGTTTCTACAATCTGTTACAGAGGATTCACCTTAAGTGTAAAGTGGACTGATGGCGAGAGAAAGAAGGACCTCACCTACACTAGAAGGAAGACACCATTTGAGATTGTTCCAGAAAAAAGTTACATGACTGTAAGGATTACTGATCTGACATTTTTATTTTTTGTACTGTCTTAAACATTGGCCAATGATCTATTGGTTTTATTTTCTACTGTCTTAAAAGTTGGCCTATGATTTATTGGGGTTTTTTTACGTCCAGTGACGGCGCCAGGCTATTTAGTGCCCTAGCCAATGATACAATATCCTTATTTTTATCCTACAATCAGATATGATAAAATATCCTATTTGTATCCTACAATCAGATAGCCAATGATAAAATATTCTTATTTTTATCCAGAGCCGGCGTTAGGAATACGCGGGGCCTAGGGCCAACCATCCACGCGGGGCCTTTCCATTATATATATATATATATATATATATATATATATATATATATATATATATATATATATATATATATATATATATGTATAAAGGCCTATAATGTGATGTACACATAATAACACAAATGTTTTGGAGTTTATAAGCTAATGTCAAACTTTCCACTGTAATAACAGATTTTTATCTCTTCCATGTATTAACCCAATGTTCGTAGTTTTTTACTTTCTCGTATATACGTAGTATAGAGAAAGTATTGTAATCGTGCAAAAAAAAAAAATCGAGATTTTTACAAATCTCGACGTTTTACACCTCACTGATACGGAAAAACATAATTTTGCAATCTTGTCCGTATGTCTGTGTGTGTGTGTGTCTGTCTGTGTGTGTGTCTGTCCGTGTGTAAACACGATAACTTGAGTACCGTTACAGCTAGGTTGATGAAATTTCATATATAAGTATTTAATCAAAATCGTAGATCCGTATCAACTTTTGAGCGATTTCCGATAACCGGAAGTGGTACTTTTCCTACTTTGAATTTTTTAAAAGCCTATAACTTGAGTACTATTTCAGATAGATAAATGAAATTTCACATGTAAGTAAAAGATCTAATTCTCTACCTTCTGTTAAATTTTGAGTAATTTCCGTTGACAGGAAGTAGTAATTTACGCTACTTCCGATTTCTCAAAAAACTAATGTAAATTTTAAAAGTACTAATAATATTGCGCACTATTATGCGCTTTTTTATTTCGCGTTCACTTGGTGTGCAATTAATTTGTCTACGAGATTTTATTCTATTTTTAAAACTTTAAGTATTTAAAATGGATTAAAAATCATGTCTATAGCCCGAGTTCCCATCCCCTGTTATTTTATATAAAAATATTCGAGAAAGTTTAGGGGAGATCACTACCGGTTTATTTTTCCTTTGCTAAGATATTAAATCACTTTTAACAGTTATGTAATTCATACCAAATCACTTAAGAAAATTTAATCACGTGCCGAATAATTAGGAAAATAAAGTTTACAATACAGCGAACTCGGCCTGATGTATCAACAGTATAGACTTCAAAATTGGTTTTGAATTCATACAATATTTTAAAACCAAAATCATTATTGTCTTAATTATTGAAGGGGTGAATCCTTAAGGTGACACAACATAACAACAGTTTTATCTTTCTTCCAAAAAATAATAATAAATCACTCTGTTTAATGCCGCCTGATATAGATCCTAAGGCCCCCCCCCCTCCTCGTCGCCCTCCTCCCACCCCTCTGCACGCAACTGAATGTTAATTTTGTTATACCAAGACAAGTAGGCCTACATATAGAGTAGCCCCCCCCCCCCCCCCCCCCCCCCCCCGAAAACAAAATGAAATTTATTTAATTTATAGAGAAGATATGTACTTTTAACAGTGTCCGTACCCCCCCCCCCCCCCCCCCCCCCCGAAGAAAGTCTACCGCCCCCCCCCCCCCCCCCCCCCCCGAAAATTTCAAGTGCCCCTCCCCCCAGAGAAAAAAGTCTGGAAGAAACACTGTACATATACGACATTATACGACATCTACAACAAGAAAGTCAGGACTAGAGTTCATCAGGTCACTAACTGTCTACTATAGACATCCCGTCTGCTCACTAAAAGGACGTCTTCATCGGTCCGCATACAATAGGGTATCTCTTTACGTCGTGGGCTAATTCTCGACCGCCATCTCCAGTCAGCTCAGGTCAAATGCCAGGCGACCGTACCCTACACAAAGGGTAGGTGTGACACTATTTTTGTATCGAATTACGGCCTGTCCCAGTTCAGGTGGGACTCACCAACATCAACCGTGGCCTCAGTTATAACAATCAACAACGTCGGCATTCGACCATTTAGTTTTTCCCAATTGAATTCAGCAACAACTTTTTTTAAGTTTACGAACTAATTCAGATAACAATGACATTGCTGAAGCGCGGGGCCCCTTCAAGCGTGGGGCCTATGGCGACCGCCCCGTTCGCCACCCCCTAACGCCGGCTCTGTTTTTATCCTACAATCAGATATGATAAAATATCCTATTTTTATCCTACAATCAGATAGCAAATGATAAAATATCCTTATTTTTATCCTACAATCAGATATGATAGAATATCCTATTTTTATCCTACAATCAGATAGCCAATGATAAAATATTCTATTTTTATCCTACAATCAGATATGATAAAATATCCTTATTTTTATCCTACAATCAGATAGCCAATGATAAAATATCCTTATTTTTATCCTACAATCAGATATGATAAAATATCCTTATTTTTATCCTACAATCAGATATGATAAAATATCCTTATTTTTATCCTACAATCAGATATGATAAAATATCCTTATTTTTATCCTACAATCAGATATGATAAAATATCCTTATTTTTATCCTACAATCAGATAGCCAATGATAAAATATCCTTATTTTTATCCTACAATCAGATATGATAAAATATCCTTATTTTTATCCTACAATCAGATATGATAAAATATCCTTATTTTTATCCTACAATCAGATATGATAAAATATCCTTATTTTTATCCTACAATCAGATATGATAAAATATCCTTATTTTTATCCTACAATCAGATATGATAAAATATCCAATTTTTATCCTATAATCAGATAGCCAATGATAAAATCTTCCTGCTGCTAAAGAAGAAAGACAACTCCTCCTGGTCTACAGAGATATCCAGTGGTTACTTCACTATGGAAGAGGTGGACTGACTGCCCCTGCTAGTCTACACTTGACCTCCCTGTTAGTCTACATTTGACTGTAACTGCTGTTTATTTGCTAACTCATCAAGCATGTTTTAGGTCAAATAACTCGGAGAGTGGGGGACTCATACCCCCTCCTTCTACCACGTAGTCAGTTTAAAATTATGTTGGAATATGTTTTAAAAACTAATGATTGGCAGAGGCGTAGCAAAGGTAGGGCAGGGGGGTACATATGTCCCCGTGGCGCCAAAATGAGTTGGAAAAAAATTAAAAGCTCATTTTAGCTGCAGTTTTGCATTATTAATATAAAAATATATGGGGGGGGGGGGGGAGGCCAAATTGAAAGTTTGTCCCCGGGCGTCGAGAAGCGTAGCTACGCCTCTGATGATTGGGACCCTTCATTTTACTACCCTCAGCTAGCCTGGTCAGCTCAAATTATTTGAAATAATTTGCTGGGTTTATGTTTATCTAGTCATAGGTCATCAGCTGATTATATTTGTCATAGGTCATCAGCTGACTATATTTGTCATAGGTCATCAGCTGACTATATTTGTCATAGGTCATCAGATGACTATATTTGTCATAGGTCATCAGCTGACTATATTTGTCATAGGTCATCAGGTGACTATATTTGTCATAGGTCATCAGATGACTATATTTGTCATAGGTCATCAGCTGACTATATTTGTCATAGGTCATCAGATGACTATATTTGTCATAGGTCATCAGCTGACTATATTTGTCATAGGTCATCAGGTGACTATATTTGTCATAGGTCATCAGATGACTATATTTGTCATAGGTCATCAGCTGACTATATTTGTCATAGGTCATCAGGTGACTATATTTGTCATAGGTAATCAGCTGACTATATTTGTCATAGGTCATCAGCTGACTATATTTGTCATAGGTCATCAGGTGACTATATTTGTCATAGGTCATCAGATGACTATATTTGTCATAGGTCATCTGATGACTATATTTGTCATAGGTCATCAGCTGACTATATTTGTCATAGGTCATCAGGTGACTATATTAGTCTAGTCATAGGTCATCAGGTGACTATATTAGTCTAGTCATAGGTCATCAGGTGACTATATTTGTCATAGGTCATCAGGTGACTATATTAGTCTAGTCACAGGTCATCAGCTGACTATATTTGCTTCATCAATTCCCACACCTTGGGCATTGCACACAGCTAAAAAATAATGTGCTATGTTGTTGTAATGATTACTGTCATCCCCACCACTCATGATGGGGTTTTGTGGAGTTACCTGTGTTTAAAACACATTTCAAGTTACCTGTGTTTAAAACACATTTCACTGTGAGGTGGAGTTATCTGTGTTTAAAACACATTTCACTATGAGGTGGAGTTACCTGTGTTTAAAACACATTTCACTGTGAGGTGGAGTTACCTGTGTTTAAAACACATTTCACTGTGAGGTGGAGTTACCTGTGTTTAAAACACATTTCAAGTTACCTGTGTTTAAAACACATTTCACTGTGAGGTGGAGTTATCTGTGTTTAAAACACATTTCACTGTGAGGTGGAGTTATCTGTGTTTAAAACACATTTCACTATGAGGTGGAGTTACCTGTGTTTAAAACACATTTCACTGTGAGGTGGAGTTATCTGTGTTTAAAACACATTTCACTATGAGGTGGAGTTACCTGTGTTTAAAACACATTTCACTGTGAGGTGGAGTTATCTGTGTTTAAAACACATTTCACTGTGAGGTTGAGTTACCTGTGTTTAAAACACATTTCACTGTGAGGTGGAGTTACCTGTGTTTAAAACACATTTCACTGTGAGGTGGAGTTACCTGTGTTTAAAACACATTTCACTGTGAGGTTTTCAGCATATTTTACTATTCAAACCTGTTAAAATCACAGTGAAGAATTACAGGAGCAACAAGCCATTACAATTTTAATGAACACACTTAACGATATATATCTCAAAATATGATGTATTGTACCTACCATGTATGTAGTGTTATATAACATTTTAATAGAGTTCCACCTTATAGACCATATACACAGCTTTAAATTATAAGTTAACAAGAAACAAATGGTATAGACAGCTGTGTCAATGTATTTGCCATTCTAAATAGTGGACAATAAGTAAAAAGAAAAAATAATAAGAATCATAGGCAGTGCTATACAGCACTATACCCTATCCCCTACCACCATACAACAGGATAAACCGCCCCTACTCATTAGTGCTATCTATGACCCCTGACCTAAGTCATACAATTTTATACTGCTACTGTATCTGTGCAATATTTTAATTATTTTCCATGTGCATTTTATTAAATGTTTATTACATTGTAACATTACCCGGATGTTTTTTAACTAACATTTCTGTCTGTGTTTTAAAGCTAAAATGTTTCAATCAATACCTTTACTTTCACTTTTGATAATTTTTCAACTCAAAGCCCTGGAAATTGATTTGTTTTAGGGTTACAGTTTTTTTCCTGAATCAATCAGAAATATTACATTTGGTTTACTGATAGGAATTCCACTAATCCTTCCTTCTAAAAGTGTGTAAAAGAAAATCATTGGAAATCTACATTATATTTTGTTGAACCTACTCATAACTCGTAAATATGAGAGACAGAAGTTCAAACACTGAAAACACTGCTCCACTTTAGGTGACCAAGAACTTTGAGAAAAGCTACCTGCACAAATACAGGTATTGAAATTTAAAGCTGTCCTCTGTTATTCATTTTAAAAATTATTATAAATATGATTGTCATTTGGAACGCAATTAAACAATAATTTTATTTAAAATGAGTACCGTATTTGAAAAAAGAGAAATTTGACTAGAACTAGTTGTAAGAAGGACTTAGGTGGGCACCAATTATATCACACGCCTAAAATTTGTGTTTCAAATAGCCGCACTTCTTTAGATCATACAGTCTAAACAATAATGTCACTTATTTTATGATACAAATCATTACAAGTGTAATGAGACAATGAACAAGTACAGAAAATAAAAATTTAAAAAAGGGGAGGCAACACATTTTTAAGAAACACTTCACCTGTTTAACTGAGTTGTGTACCTTATTTCAGTTAGGTGCCAAAGGAAACGCAAAATGTAATCAGGGGAGGCAACGCATTTTAATATATGCTTTACCTGTTTAACTGAGTTATGTACCTTACTTCGACTAGCTCGTTCCCGACTGTTAACTGAACAAAACGAATCCAATTTTTGAACATTTGTCTTTCCACTAACTTCACAAATAGTTGTTCAAATTGTTGCTCAACCAAAGTCAGTCATGACGTCAGACTGGGCCGTGTGACCTGGATGACGTCAGCCCGAGTCCTGTGTGAGCGGTGTCTGGGTGAGCTTGACGAACTGCTCGATGCCACACCTGCACTTGCAGACCCCTTGCACCAGGTAGGTCGGCCTGTCGCTCTCGTCCCTGCCAAAAGGCGGGCTTTTGAAGAAGTTCTTGACGCTACGGGTGCTCGTGGTCACGTGCTCTTTGCTTTTCTTGTTGTGGTAGCTGATCAATATCTGGGAGAATCAATAAGCTGATCAATATCTGGGAGAATCAATAAGCTGATCAATATCTGGGAGAATGATTTAATAAGCTGATCAATATCTAGGAGAATCAATAAGCTCATCAATATCTGGGAGAATGATTTAATAAGCTGATCAATATCTGGGAGAATCAATAAGCTGATCAATATCTGGGAGAATCAATAAGATCATCAATATCTGGGAGAATGATTTAATAAGCTGATCAATATCTGGGAGAATCAATAAGCTCATCAATATCTGGGAGAATGATTTAATAAGCTGATCAATATCTGGGAGAATCAATAAGCTCATCAATATCTGGGAGAATTTTAATGTGTTGATCTGCATCTGGGATACTATTACTATAACAGATCAATATCGAGATTTACTTAAGTAAATCAATATCTGGGATATTTCAAACAAACTGATGAATATTTGGGATAATTTAAAAAAGGTAATTAATAAATGGGATAATGTAACAAAAAATATCTGAGATATTCTTACATGCTTATCGGTATTAAATTAAACGCAAAAAAACAGGTTAGTCGATCTTTTGATTGACCCCTGGGCCAGTCCATCGACCCATGGGCCAGTCCATTGTATTAGTCTATAGTTGTGGTGAGTACACATGTAGACTCACGTGACCCCCCCCCCCCCCGAAGGTTGCCAACATACTGAACTCAGTCTATAGTTGAGGTGAGTACACATGTAGACTCACGTGCCCCCGAAGGTCGCCAGCATGCTAAACTCAGTCTATAGTTGTGGTGAGTACACATGTAGACTCACGTGACCCCCCCCCCCCCCCGAAGGTTGCCAACATACTGAACTCAGTCTATAGTTGAGGTGAGTACACGTGTAGACTCACGTGCCCCCGAAGGTCGCCAGCATGCTGAACTCAGTCTATAGTTGGGGTGAGTACACATGTAGACTCACGTGCCCCCCGAAGTTTGCCAACATGCTAAACTCAGTCTATAGTTGGGGTGAGTACACATGTAAACTCACGTGCCCCCCGAAGTTTGTCAACATGCTAAACTCAGTCTATAGTTGGGGTGAGTACACATGTAAACTCACGTGCCCCCCGAAGTTTGTCAACATACTGAAGTCAGTCTATAGTTGGGGTGAGTACACATGTAGACTCACGTGCCCCCCGAAGGTCGCCAGCATGCTGAACTTGCTGTTGTAGTCGTCCTCCTTGATGACCAGCTCTGCTGTCGTCTGCTGACCAGAGGGCACCATGACCTCCGTGTCGATGCCCCAGGACAGCTCGTGCTCCGTCACCCTGGTCAACCCTGAGAGAGAGAGATCAGAATAGGGGGTTGTTAGGGTTGTTTTGGTTGTTAGGGTTGTTGGTGTTGTTAGTTGTTAGGGTTGTTAGGGTTGTTTTGGTTTTTCTTTGTTATTGGTAAGTCCAGAAACTACAAACATGGTAAGAGAAAAAAAAACGGTCTTAAAAATTAGCCAGGATCCATGGTATTGGTGCAATGTGATTTTAATAAATTCATTAGCGTTGTGGTGTTTGGGTGAGGATCTGATTTGGTTCGGGGAGGTGGAGGTGGAGTGGGGTGAGTGTGTGGCTGTAGCTCAGGGTGTGATGTTTGTTGTTGCTGTGGCTCATAGATTTAGTTGGGTGGTCACGAGTGAGGGTGTGGTTGTAGCTCAGGGTGTGATGTTTGTTGTTGCTGTGGCTCATAGATTTAGTTGGGTGGTCACGAGTGAGGGTGTGGTTGTAGCTCAGGGTGTGATGTTTGTTGTTGCTGTGGCTCATAGATTTAGTTGGGTGGTCACGAGTGAGGGTGTGGTTGTAGCTCAGGGTGTGATGTTTGTTGTTGCTGTGGCTCATAGATTTAGTTGGGTGGTCACTCGAAGACTTTGGAAAAGAACGTACCGTTTGTGTTGGAGAAGTCGGCCTTGAACCCGGCATTCGCCTCAATCACGGGCAGGGGAGGGCCAATCCTCAGTCTGACCTCGGCCCCGTAGGTGAAGGTCTTGGTGAAGGTCACCTGACAGGTGGACTTAGTGCGGCGCTCGGTCCGCAGGGTGTAGGTCTGGGGGGTGGGGGTGTCGTTGGCGAACTTGGCGGAGAAGAGCACGTGGGCGGTGGCTGTGCCTGCCAGTTCCTTTTTCTCGTACTCTGTCTCACCTGCCAGGTGAAGTAGAGTGTCGGCATGTGCGTCAGTTTACATCAGAGACCAACTAACCCACCTCTCATATTTATTTAAATAAATATGAGACTAACAATACAAAGTAACAATTATAAGTTTTGCAGTAACACAGTTTTTTTTTTAAATGATATCAAAAGATTTATTTGATTGGTTTAATGAATACAAAAAAACAATGTGGAAAACAGAATATTTACTAAGTTGATGTTCGCCAACTCAAACCAGATTGAATGGTTATACAGTATCATAAAGCATTTGGTTTGCTACATAAGCAATATTTGCATCATAGCATGTTTGTTTTATTAGAACAATGTAGTAGGGAGTTAAGCAGTTATTAACAATTACATATTCTTAAAAATAAATCTATAAGGACATAGGAAATACTTAAAGTTAACACGGTTTTTCTTTTTTTTTTTTTTTTTTTTTTTTTTTTTTTTTTTTTTTTGTTTACCTAAAATTAACCTGGAGTTGGAGGCAGAAAATGCCACTACTGGCACAAGACGTGTATAAATAGATACGCCTAATCGACTATGTTATTAGGACTACATATTGAATAGAAAATTGTTATTTATTTAAATTTTAGGTTTTTATCAATCTGTACCCCATGTGACACTGAGTAATATTTCTTATAACTAGTATCTTATCTAAACTTTGATGCAATTGGGGATTGGGAAATTGTATAAAATAAGTTGAGATTATTTAACTTTAGAGAATACTTCTTGTTACTTCCCCTGATAATTCATGGTAATATTTACGGTTTTTTCCCTTGATACGAATCGTGCTACATCTTTAATAATTAATCTCTTTATTACAAACTTATACAATTTGCAAGGCTTCATATTGTTTTGAAAGCAAATTGTGTATACAAATTGTCTAAATTTAGTTATCCAACCATTGTAATAGAATTGTTATATAGTATAAATGTGGCAAAAATTGAGACAAAAGAAAATAATAGGCCGTGGTCAAGTAGTAACACTGTAATAAAGCATCAGCCTCTACCCCCCCCCCCCCCCACCCAGCGTGAAGCTGTTTGTCCCAGTGAGATGGTGTCACCCCCCCCCCCCCGCCCCCTCCCCCCGACTTGTGAGGGATGTCATGTAGATGTGACCTACTTACCATAATCCACAGTCATCCACTTCCAGTTGATGACTGGGTTATCTAGGTCGACCAGTGACCTCAGGTTCGGCTCCATCTTGCTCCGGTCATACGTCCTGACGATCTCTTCCAGGTCGGCATCGAACTCGGTCATTTTGTCTGGGAACATTGAACTCCGTCATTTTGTCTGGGAACATCGAACTCGGTCATTTTGTCTGGGAACATTGAACTCTGTCATTTTGTCTGGGAACATTGAACTCGGTCATTTTGTCTGGGAACATTGAACTCGGTCATTTTGTCTGGGAACATTGAACTCGGTCATTTTGTCTGGGAACATTGAACTCGGTCATTTTGTCTGGGAACATCGAACTCGGTCATTTTGTCTGGGAACATCAGCCTACTCAGTCATTTTGTCTGGGAACATTGAACTCGGTCATTTTGTCTGGGAACATTGAACTTGGTCATTTTGTCTGGGAACATCGAACTCAGTCATTTTGTCTGGGAACATTGAACTCGGTCATTTTGTCTGGGAACATTGAACTCGGTCATTTTGTCTGGGAACATTGAACTCGGTCATTTTGTCTAGAACATTGAACTCGGTCATTTTGTCTGGGAACATCGAACTCGGTCATTTTGTCTGGGAACATCAGCCTACTCAGTCATTTTGTCTGGGAACATTGAACTCGGTCATTTTGTCTGGGAACATTGAACTCGGTCATTTTGTCTGGGAACATTGAACTCGGTCATTTTGTCTAGAACATTGAACTCGGTCATTTTGTCTGGGAACATCAGCCTACTCAGTCATTTTGTCTGGGAACATTGAACTCGGTCATTTTGTCTGGGAAAATCTGACAGAATTTTTTTTATACATATGTATCACAATCTGTCAACATCACTTAAAACATCTATGTCATAACAGGCTAACATAATTTTAAACGGTGTCACAATTTGCATACACCGTTTAAAACGGTGTCACAATTTGCATACACCGTTTAAAACGGTGTCACAATTTGCATACACCGTTTAAAACGGTGTCACAATTTGCATACACCGTTTAAAACGGTGTCACAATTTGCATACACCGTTTAAAACATCTCAAAATTAAAATGTCAGTAGCAAACAAAAACACATGGAAATAAATCTGCAGCGTTCAGATAAAATGCTATTTCATAGGCTTAATTTTTACACAATTTTAAGACGCCTTATTGTATAAATGTTTGTATAAAATATTGGACCCATTATTGTAGAAATGTTTGGATAAAATATTGGACCCATTATTGTATAAATGTTTGGATAAAATATTGGACCCATTATTGTATAAATGTTTGGATAAAATATTGGACCCATTATTGTATAAATGTTTGGATAAAATATTGGACCCATTATTGTATAAATGTTTGGATAAAATATTGGACCCATTATTGTATAAATGTTTGGATAAAATAGTGGACCCATTATTGTATAAATGTTTGGATAAAATATTGGACCCATTATTGTATAAATGTTTGGATAAAATATTGGACCCATTATTGTATAAATGTTTGGATAAAATATTGGACCCATTATTGTATAAATGTTTGGATAAAATATTGGACCCATTATTGTATAAATGTTTGGATAAAATATTGGACCCATTATTGTATAAATGTTTGGATAAAATATTGGACCCATTATTGTATAAAAGTTTGGATAAAATATTGGACCCATTATTGTATAAATGTTTGGATAAAATATTGGACCCATTATTGTATAAATATTTGGATAAACATGTGAGAAAAAGACAGGTATGAAACAGACATTTTATATATCATCCTATATGATGGAACGTTCTTATTTATTTACCCCCAGCTAGAGTATATGTTTTTTGTTTCAATAAATTAAGAATTACAACAAAATTAAAAACATGAACACGTTTTCCTTAGTGAAGTTGCCAACATTATTTTGGCGAGGGACAACATTGTCCAGTGATTCTATCAAAAGATCGGGGTTTGTGATCAACATGTATTGGAATAAAGTGATTGGTCGACCTCCACCAGTCAACGAGTAGCTCACCTATGACGTCAATGTGCTAAAAATAGAATCCCCGGTCTCTGCGAGTGCACTACAAATATTTTGGTTAGATAGAAAATCAAACCAATGGATTGCATTAGCTGCACCAGTAGAAACCTTGACTACACTGGCACAGTTCGACAATATTGTTGTCCTGTGTAACACAGCTACTGGTGTCACAATTAATCACATGATTCTACACCGAATGTGTGCACACAACAAAATCAACAATCAAAATGGCGCAGTACTTAACATGACCTATTTGTAAAACAAGTTGTGAATGTTAACTTTTCGATGAGTTGAGTTAGGAGCTGTGTCAACAAATCTTGTGGTACTGGAGAATGTTGCCTCGCCCATACACAACTAGATCTATTAATACAAAGTGGGGGGGGGGGGTCTATATCTATTAGTTGGTGTCAGGGGCGGAACTACAGTGCCGCCAGACCCCGCAATGCGGGGGGGGCCCACGTCATTTAGGGGCCCACAGCCGACCATAATAATTATTTTTTATAGTTAAAATTTTAAATTTCTTGCATTTTTGACTTGATGGTTGTTTTGTAAAAAGATTACCGTAGCTGCGGTTGGATTATCTTTATTAGACACCACCCCACGCTCTTTTGTATTTTCCCCTTTGTTTTTAAGCCACTGTGAAAGCCGAGTCCTCTTTCTCCTACAATTAAAATTAGCAAAATGAACAAACGTTCAAACCACTTCCATCACTTATTTCCCTTTTTTTAAATAGTCAAATAGGGGTGCTCATAAGCTCCTTTTAAAAGATTTGTACCACACAAATTTTAAAAAACAATTACTTCTCTTAATTATTTTTTTTTATAAAGTACTTACTAAAGAATGACATTGTATAAAAAGGAAATGTATTTAAAATTAATAATATAAATACAAAAAAACATAAAAATAAACATAACACGAAACACCATTATTTATACAAAGCTTTCATGTTTTATATTCTTTTGACAAACAAGAGGCTAATTGTTTAGAAAAAGGTCCTACAGCAGAGAGAAAATAATAAACTGATTTTTCACAAAACACACTAATGCACTTACAAACGACAAGATGTAGTAATTTGTTTTAAATGAAAAAAAAAACATTTTTTTTTCAAAACCCGAACAGGCCAGCAATAAATATCCTTTGTTCGTATTTTGTGTTTGTGTATATCTATATCAATATATATATATATATATGTATATTGATATATATATATATATATATCAATATATATGTAACGAGTCCCCGAGTCTATCCTGCCGACAACGCCAAATGTAACGAGTCTCTGGCTACCCTGCCGACAACGCCAAATGTGACCTTCCCGAGTCTAACCACTCATTCCACACAACATTGACCACAGCACAGATACTCGAAGATGCAGGTTCATTATTGATCCTTTTATTACATGAATCAAAGAATGCTTCACAATAATATAATGAATCAAGAGAGATGTTTCACAATAATAGTCTGAATCAACGGACCCCCAACAGTCCTCACTAGGCTTCATCTAACTGAATACACATGTCTAACGTCCTGCTTAACACAATACGGCTAACCCGTTCAATAACCAACTTGATACTGCCACACTGACTGACTGATCGAGAGCGAGCGAGAGAGAGAGAGAACCAGCCGTCGCCCTCCGATATATCCCCTTCATAATCGTACTCATATTCGGTCCTATCATAATCGTAATCGTAATCGTTGTATCAGAATGTTAATTACGCCGCTTCTGTTGTACAGTCCGATTTAATAAGCCATCTGCATCCTGTCACATCAAAGTTGACAGACCGTCTTTCGTATCGCTTCCCGAGATACTACGCCTTGGCTTTCTGATCGTTATCAGCCACCACCTGTGTTATTGCATCAGTCGTGTCAAAGTTGACAGCGCTGTACCGCGTTCTTATGTCTGGTAACTTCCCCTAGTTACATCCACCCCTGCCTTTTTTTGTGTGTTATCAACCACAAACAACGCTTGGCAGGTGCAGTCCTTCAAAGTCAATCGCACCACCGTAAAAAAAAAATCCATTGTTCCACTCACTGTCAATGTCGTCACATTCGTATAAGATTGACCGTTATCCCTATTTCACATATCAAATGTGTCTACATCATCTTCCTCAGACACAAAACAGTTCTAGAATTCACATCCACCTTTTTTCGTCTGGTGCCTTCACCAGTTCACTTTTATGACTTTTTTTTTGAACAGTCTGTTCTCATACCAGCGCGACCATGAAAGAATTGATGGTTGCTGACAAAAAATTTCGTATTCTTTCTGTTTCTCAAACTTCTCCGCGGACCACTTATCTGATGGTCTATTGTCTCTCTGCTTTTGGAGGGACCGGGATCCTCCTTGTTGCCGGTATCCTCCCCTTGTGTGTCGCTGTTGTTCTGTTGATGGTGACATGGTTCCGGGATGGGTATGTGAATTTCCGTTATAGTTTCCGGTTCCCTAATTGTCTTGGATTTCCTTGTGTGTAACTGCTCTTCTTGACTATGACAATATTTCTTTAATTGAGCAATATTCGCCCACCGATCCGGTTTGGTGTGATCGATGGGTCTTATCTTAAAGGGGCCACCTGCTACTTTAGGCATCTCCACGACTTGCCATATCTCCTGTCCCCAGAGGTCGTGGATTTTGTTTCTGCCTAACGGGTGGCTACGCAGTAATACCCTGTCGTTCAGTTTGAGTGGCGGGTCCTTTGTCTGTACCGGCGGTTCCCTTCGCCGTGCTTCATGTTCTAGTCTTTCCTGTACTACCCTGTACATTTCTCTAATTCGTCTCATATGTTCATTCACATATTCTAGTGCGGTGTATGAGCCAGTCATACTCTCCTTTTTTCCTAGGAACAAGTCAAGGGGGAGTCGAGCCTCCCGTCCGAACATCAACATGTGTGGCGAAAAGCCGGTTGTGGCATGGGGGGTGCAGTTGTATAGATATACCAACTCTGGGAGAAAATCAGGCCAACGTTTTTTCTGTTCAGGTTCTAGGGTACGCAGCAAATCATGCATGCTGCGGTTGAACCGCTCGCACTGTCCGTTTCCTTTCGGATTAAATGTGGTTGTTCTAGATTTGTTGATCCCGTAGTGGCTGCACAGTTGGTTAATTACTTCTGACTCGAAGGCCCTTCCTTGGTCAGAGTGTAATTGTCTTGGTATGCCATATTTGATGAACCAATGTTCTATTAAGACCTTTGCCACTGTTTTGGCAGTCTGATCTCGTGTGGGCACCGCCACAGTCCATTTGGTGAAAACATCAGTCATTACCAACACATGTTCCGTCCCATCCGATGATTGCTCCAACGACGTAAAGTCCATAGCCACAATCTCTAGTGGTTTTGTCGCTAATAGGTGTCCCGATGGCTGTCTCATTTTGACAACTGGCATTTTCGCATGCTGACACCTCACACAAGCCTCACAATGGCGTTTGACCTCCATTTCCATATTGGGCCAGTAACACCTTCGTCGTAATATTTTGTGCGTCCTGTCCTGACCCTGGTGTCCTGCCCTGTCATGTGCCAACCTTAGCACTTCTTCTCGTAATTGTCCAGGCACCACCACCTGGTGTATTGTCCCATCAATTTGGTCATGAATTCTCCGCATGAGAACACCATCCTGTATACTGAGACGGTCCCACTGACTCAGTATTTTCTTTGTTTCTCGACCAAATTGTTCTCTTTCCCTTCTTCCTGGGAATTTTTGTTCCTGGACGTGTTTCAACAGCGGCTGTAAGCCACTATCCGTTCTCTGGGCATCTCTTATCTCTTTGTGATTAAGGCAACTAAAATCACCAATGTCCATATGTCCGGGCTCTGTGGAAATGTGCTCCACCCCGGTCTGTCCGTTCTGCCTCACTTGCACCCCGTGCGGGATATCTGTTGACGCTCTGACCTCACATATTCCTGTCAGCGTTTCTTCCTCATCGCCCGGTCTCTCGTAAGGATTCCTTGATAAGGCGTCCGCATTGCCATTGGACCGCCCCGGGCGATATTTTATCTCTAGGTCAAAGAGTGCCAATTCTGCTGCCCATCGCTGTTCGATGGATCCCAACTTTGCTGTCTTTAGGTGACTCAAGGGGTTATTGTCAGTGTATACCACACATTTAGCACCTAATAAATAGTCCCTGAATTTTTCCGTCACAGCCCATTTTAATGTCAAAAGTTCTAGTTTCATGGCGCTGTAATTTGTCATGTTCTTCTCTGATTCCTTCAGAGCTCGACTGGCATAAGCAATAACCCTGAAGCCTTGCTTTTGTTGTTGTGATAGCACAGCTCCCAGACCTTTAGAGCTGGCGTCAATTTCTAGCCGAAATGGCTTGTCAAAGTCTGCATATCCTAATATCGGCGCCTCTGTCAAAGCCTTTTTCAATAGCTTAAACGAGTTCAGGCATTCATCAGTCCATAATTCACCTATCCGTTGTGTTTTACCTTTCTTTTTCTCCTTACTGTGTTTCTTTGTCATTTTGTTTACCAAGTCATGCAATGGTGCGGCAATTTTTGCAAAACCAGGCACAAATTTTCTATAATAGGAAGCAAAGCCCAAGAATGATCTGACCTCTACTGTGGTTGTTGGCTGTTTCCATTCTTTAACAGCTGCAATTTTATCTGGGTCAGTGGCGATGCCATCCGACGAAATCACATAACCCAAAAAATGTACCGATTTCAGACCGAAGCAGCATTTGTCTGGGTTCAGCTTTACTCCTATCTCCCTAAGACGGAGAAACACTTGTTCTAATCTTTCTAGATGGTCCTCCCAAGTTTTTGAGTAAACCAGTATATCATCCAAGTACACCAACATTATTTGAAATAGAAAGTCACTCATAGCACTCTGCATTACTCGCTGGAATGTAGCAGGTGCATTAGTTAGACCAAACGGCATACGGGTCCACTCGTACAGTCCCAGTGGAGAAATAAATGCAGTTTTATGTTGATCGTTGGGGTGCATGGCCACTTGGTGGTAGCCACTAGCCAAATCCAAGGTAGAAAAAAATCTTGCTCCCCCCAACGCATCAAGACATTCATCAATACGAGGCAAGGGGAATGCATCCCTTCTTGTGATATTGTTCAATTTCCGGTAATCACAACACAGTCTTATCTCCCCTGACTTCTTTTTTACCACTACTATCGGTGCCGCATACGGGCTCGTGCTGGTTGTAATAATTCCCTTTTTTAGTAGATCGTTCAGGTGAGCTTTCACCGCAGAGTAGTGACTCGGTGGTAATCTTCGATAAGGTTGCGCCACCGGCTTGTCTTGTAGTAAGGGTATCTGGTGTTTTATTACTTCCGTGTAACCCAAATCACCCTCGTACGAGGCAAATATATCCCTGTACTTATTCAACAATTCATTTAGTTTTGGGTCCTCAGTTTCCGGGAATGTATATGATCGGCCATCCTCTTTCTTCACCTCGGCCGTCACATTGACCGACCTAACTGTTACTTCATTACTGCTGGTATTGCTCAGTTCGATGCACTGTGCCGACTTTTGTACCTCGACGTTCTGTGGTACTCCTACCAGAGTGTTAGGCGGTATAAAAATTTCCTCATCCAAAACATTTGCCACTAGTCCTTGAACTAGTCCATTTTCCGCTGATGTGTATGTCCGCAGTAACACGACGCCTGCCCTCAGTGCGGCGCCACATGGTTCTATCATCACATCACCATTCACACTTCTATCACCAATTTGTAATGTGATTGCCTTGACCGTGTTTGCCGGGACTGATATCCTTCCTCTGGTCTTGGCAAACCTGGCCAACTTGGATCCCCGACCTGGTGTGGTCGATCCGACCATATTTGTAAGAAATTCTGGCAACTGGCCAAGAATATTCATGCCCAACAGGCAAGGTATATTTGACACATTTGTCTCTAGGTTGTGTTTCGTAACGAACACCCCAACCTGCTTCAACCTATGTCCCGCCACCACGACATCCGCCAGAAAATAACCACAGTATGGAATGGTTAGTCCATTAGCTGCCGTCAGGCGCATGCATGTGTCAGACCTCAACCTATGGTCTTTTCCTTTCATCCATTTGGTGTAAAAATTTTCCGTGATTGTCGTCACCTGGGAGCCTGTATCCACAATTGCCTTCACCGCGATGTCCCCAATCGTAATCACCATTTCGGGACAGACTCCCATCATTTTGCTTCTTGGGCCATAACCTCGCCCCTCTGTAGCCTGGCCCTGCCTTACAGAGGACGACCGTTTCCCTGGCAGTACCGTGCCATATGTCCGGGTTGTGAACAGGACAAGCAAATTGGTCGACCGTCAGCCGTCCACCGGAGTGATGGACCGGCGGGTCGCGGCCGTCCAACCTGTCTCTGTTTTGTCCCGTTCTTTTCCTGATTCTCAGCTGTTGACCTGCTTTCTAACCTCTCCAATCTTTGGTCAACCTTATCCAGGTGGGCCAACAGTTGAGCCATCATGGTTTCCACCGTGCCGGTCCCCGTGGGTGGGGATTGTTTCTGTTCCGGCACAGAGACTTTGTCCACCGAACAGTTCGATTGGTCCTCATCCTCGGACCTGCGGATCGCTGAGTTCCTGACCTGAAGGAAGGTCAACTGCGGGTCTTTGTGGACCTCCTCTTTCAACTCTCTCCTTAAGATCGGGGTTGCTAGCCCCTCGATGAACTGGTCCCTCAGTAGGCGTACATCAATGTCAGGTGTTTTGCCCTTTACCGAATCAAAGGCCCTGTTTATTCGGTGTGAATACTCCATCACACTCTCCGCCATTCTCTGCTTTAAGCCTACGAACCCCGATAGCAGTTGCGATCCCGACCGTCTCTCCCCAAAGGTCTCCATAATTAGATCCAGCACCTTATCTGGATCTGATTGGACGGTTTTATCGTGGCATTTGACCTCTGCCCTAACCGTCTCACCTATACTGCCCATCAGCAGTCTTAATCTTTCCTCTGGTGACATGTTTCTCGAGGCCCAGGCCGCTTTGACCTCTTCACTGAACCTGTTGGTTAAAGTTGGATCACCGTCCCCGTAAAATTTGTTAATGTGGGACTCTCTGGGCAGGACCACAATATGGGTCTGCTTCTCGTCCAGAGTAGACATTTTAATAACCAACTTGATACTGCCACACTGACTGACTGATCGAGAGCGAGCGAGAGAGAGAGAGAGAACCAGCCGTCCGATATATCCCCTTCATAATCGTACTCATATTCGGTCCTATCATAATCGTAATCGTAATCGTTGTATCAGAATGTTAATTACGCCGCTTCTGTTGTACAGTCCGATTTAATAAGCCATCTGCATCCTGTCACATCAAAGTTGACAGACCGTCTTTCGTATCGCTTCCCGAGATACTACGCCTTGGCTTTCTGATCGTTATCAGCCACCACCTGTGTTATTGCATCAGTCGTGTCAAAGTTGACAGCGCTGTACCGCGTTCTTATGTCTGGTAACTTCCCCTAGTTACATATATATCAATATATATATATATATATATATATATATATATATATATATATATATATATATATATATATATATATATATATATATATATATATATATATATATATATATATATATATATATATATATATATTGATATGTGTGTGTGTGTGAGGGGGCCTAAAACTTTTTTTGCGGGGTGGCCCTTTTTTTCTAGTTCCGCCACTGGTTGGTGTACAGAGTGGGGGATCTAGATCTATCAGGTGGTGTACAAAGAGGGGGGGGGGGGTATCTAACTGATCTTCACTGAGCAAGCCAACGACTTGTTGCCTAGCTCTATTCATCAAACTATCATTTTATTTGTGGGTGTAATATTATCAGTCTAACCGCCAATGTTAATGTATTTTATTTGCGTTAATGATTATTGAAATATAAATTTCCCTATTTCTCATGTTAGTCCATTTGCTGTAGAAATATGAAGTTAAAAAATTTGCACCAATGGATGCAATGTGAATGGAAAAAGAGTTTTTCTCATGTCCGAAATTAAGGGGGAAAATCTTGAAATATTTATAGACTTACCTGAGGCTGAATGAAAACAGAATTTTCTAGAACAAGTCTACCAACTTATGCACATCTAATTCCACGGATAGCAGACGTCTACCAATTTGCACACGTCTAAATCTACAGATAGCAGACGTCTACCAACTTGCACACGTCTGGAACATCATCCGTTAATGGCGGCTAATTGCCAGGAAGGAAACTCTGTCAGAGCTGGTGCAGGAAGTCTGTGGCATCGATCGCAGTTGGTTCACACGGCTGTTAAACCGTGGGTTAAACTCGGCTGTCTGTGTTAAACCATGCGGTTAAACACGGCTGACTGTGTTAAACCATCGGGTTAAACGTGGCCGTCTGTGTTAAACCATGAGGTTAAACACGGTTGTCTGTGTTAAACCATGCGGTTAAACACGGCTGTCTGTGTTAAACCATGGGTTAAACGTGGCCGTCTGTGTTAAACCATGAGGTTAAACACGGCTGTTTATGTCAAAAAGAGGTTAAACACAGCTGTCTGTGTTAAACCACCAAGCTTCACACCGCGCCATTCGTGTACTGAGACAGCACTACCGGCAACACGAATTAACCGCTCACGGATTAATTCCCCTACCCCCCCCCCCCCCCCCACGTCCATCTCTGGTACCAAACGTTTAGTCGAGCGACCTCCGTGGCCTGCAGATCTAAAATCAATAAAACCGTTTTCGATGTGTCGAGTGTAGCCAATATCCTAAGTACCAGTAAATGTAGGCGCCAGATAATATCCTAAGTAGACCCAGGATGTAGCATCAGCTGTGTGTTAGAGTCTCTCCTTTAACAAAAATCTAAAAACGTTAGTCAACATTTTCATTCTCATATCGATAACACAGTTTTAGATGCTTGTGCACTGCCCTACAACTGCTAGCTTGAGTTTCACACAACTGCTACCCTAAGTACCAGACAACTGCTACCCTAAGTACCAGACGATTGCTACCCTAAGTACCAGACAACTGCTACCCTAAGTACCAGACAATTGCTACCCTATAGCCACACTTACGTCGTATGTTGTCGAGCTAAAATTAATTTGTCCATAACACCCAACAAGCAAAAATAAAACAACGTCAAACAAAGTAGTCAACAAACACATCATTTTTTATTACAGTTATTTAATCTTTTTCCAAAGAAATATTTTATTATTTGAACATGCCCAAGCCTAGACTACAAGACATTTAGCCACTTGCGCTCATTGCTATCATAATCATCGGGCACACAGAGAACATTGAACATTTCACAGAAATATTGAAAAAACAAATTCGAACAAAAAAATGGTGTTAAGGATGTGTTCAACAACAAATATCCAATCAAAAGACTCCAGATTAGTAGATTAATGTGAACAATAGGCATAAAAACATGGAACAATAAGGTCATGTGTCAGTCAATAAAGGTTAGATCATAAGGTCATGTGTCACAGTCAATTAAGGTCAGATCATAAGGTCATGTGTCAGTCAATTAAGGTCAGATCATAAGGTCATGTGTCAGTCAATTAAGGTCAGATAATCAGGTCATGTGTCAGTCAATTAAGGTCAGATCATAAGGTCATGAGTCAGTCAATTAAGGTCAGATAATCAGGTCATGTGTCAGTCAATTAAGGTCAGGTAACAAGGTCATGTGTCAGTCAATTAAGGTCACATAATAAGGTCATGCGTCAGTCAATTAAGGTCAGGTAACAAGGTCATGTGTCAGTCAATTAAGGTCAGATAATAAGGTCATGTGTCAGTCATCAAAGGCCTGGAACAGCGGGGTCATGAACTCTGTGAGGTTGATGATCTGCTCAATGCCGAACCTGCTCTTGCAGTGACCTTTGACCGTGAGCATGGGCTTTCCGTTGCTGTCGATGGTAAATCCGCTGCAGGGTGTGAAGATCTTGGTGACACATTCGTGGAATGTCTCGAGAACCTCCTTGTCCTTCTTGTGGACATACGAGATAAAAATCTGTTGGAGAGGTCACGTGACGTTTGATGATAGTTGACATGACATTGACATTTGATGATAGTTGACATGACATTGACATTTGATGATGGCTGACATGACATTGACATTTGATGATAGTTGACATGACATTGACATTTGATGATGGCTGACATGACATTGACATTTGATGATGGCTGACATGACATTGACATTTGATGATGGCTGACATGGACGAGAGTAGGCATGGCATGGGCATTTGACGATAGCTGACATTGAATTGACATATGACGATACTTGATATGGCATTGACATTTACAAATGATACATGTCAGTAACTCTCACTCGAAAGTAACATCTCCCCAGAGAACATGACACAATCTTACCAAATATGACGTTTACCTACCAAACGTGACAACAACCCACCCAGCAAACGTGAATAAAACTCCCCGTTAAAGCTGGCCTCCTTATGACCCCCCACCCCACCCTCCCACCCTCCCCTCTCCCCCACCCCACTTACCTCCCCATCAAACGTGACGTTCATCTCAAACTCCCCATTAAAGCTGGCCTCTTTATGACCCCCCACCCCCACCTCCCCCCCACAACACCCCCCACCCCACCCCCCACCCCCCCCCACCCCCCACCCCCCCCCCCACCCCACTTACCTCCCCATCAAACGTGACGTTCATCTCAAACTCCCCATTAAAGCTGGCCTCCTTATGACCCCCCACCCCACCCCCCCACAACACCCCCCACCCCACCCCCCACACCCCCACCCCACCCCCCACCCCCACTTACCTCCCCATCAAACGTGACGTTCATCTCAAACTCCCCATTAAAGCTGGCCTCCTTATGACCCCCCACCCCACCCCCCACACCCCCACCCCACCCCCCCACCCCCTCTTACCTCCCCATCAAACGTGACGTTCATCTCAAACTCCCCATTAAAGCTGGCCTCCTTGACGGCCAGCTCAGCTCGGACAGTGAAGCCGGGCTGGACCACGATGTTGGTGTCCACGCCCCACATCAACCTCTCCTCGTACATGATCCTCTTGCCTGCCCGCACACAGGGACATTGTTAATCAGGGGTCATCCTAATCAGGGGTCATCTTAATCAGGCGTCAACTCAATCAGGAGTCACCTCAATTAGGGGTCACCTCAATCAAAGGTCACCTCAATCAGTGGTATATTAAATTAGGGGACCCTCAATCAGGAAAATCTACCCAAAAAATCTACCGGGCAGTAGTTGTCTGATTTTAATGAGTTGTCTCTCCTAGATGGGTTGCTGTCTCCATTGGGTTGCTGTCTCCAGCTATCAAACCTCATCTTCCCAGGGGTTCGAACTCCGGACTTTTGGGTTTAGCAAGAATGACCTCTACCGGCCCGAACTCTCCGACCCCTAATCAGGGGTCACCTTAATCAGGAATCACGAGTCAAATCAACCAGGGGTTTAGTTTGTTATGGGCCTACATTTAGGATCACGTTTTTTTTTTGTTTCTTACATCTACCAAATCTAACTACATTTTTTTGTTTACATTTTAAAAGGCAACTTCCTCCCAAAAAATACGCCTCGATGTTAAAAGTTTTAACCTTTTTCTGTTTTTAGCTCCGAGTTAAAGGTAGCGTTGACCTTGGCCAACTCTTCAGGGACCTCAATGTTGAGCTCAATGTCGCCCGAGTACGTGTAGGTCTTGGTCATTGCGATCTCGTTGATGGAGAGAGACTCTCGCTCCGTCTTGAGCATGAACTTCTTGGCCTTCATCGAGGTGTTCTCAAAGTTGGCCGAGAACAGGATGTTAACATCTTCATTGGGCTCCATCTTCTTCTTGGTGTACCTGGTGGGCCCTGGGGGAGGGGGGGGGGGGAGACATTTAGAGGCGTGTGTACTTGGTGGACCCTGGGGCGGGGGGGGGGGAGACATTTAGAGGCGTGTGTACTTGGTGGGCCCTGGGGGGGGGGGGGAGACATTTAGAGGCGTGTGTACTTGGTGGGCCCTGGGGGGGGGGGGGGAGACATTTAGAGGTGTGTGTACTTGGTGGGCCCTGGGGGGGGGAGACATTTAGAGGTGTGTGTACTTGGTGGGCCCTGGGGGGGGGGAGACATTTAGAGGTGTGTGTACTTGGTGGGCCCTGGGGTGGGGGAGACATTTAGAGGTGTGTGTACTTGGTGGGCCCTGGGGGGGGGGGGAGACATTTAGAGGTGTGTGTACTTGGTGGGCCCTGGGAGGGGGGAGACATTTAGAGGTGTGTGTACTTGGTGGGCCCTGGGGGGAGACATTTAGAGGCGTGTGTACTTGGTGGGCCCTGGGGGGAGACATTTAGAGGTGTGTGTACTTGGTGGGCCCTGGGGGGAGACATTTAGAGGCGTGTGTACTTGGTGGGCCCTGGGGGGAGACATTTAGAGGCGTGTGTACTTGGTGGGCCCTGGGGGGAGACATTTAGAGGTGTGTGTACTTGGTGGGCCCTGGGGGGAGACATTTAGAGGCGTGTGTACTTGGTGGGCCCTGGGGGGAGACATTTAGAGGCGTGTGTACTTGGTGGGCCCTGGGGGGAGACATTTAGAGGTGTGTGTACTTGGTGGGCCCTGGGGTGGGGGGGGAGACATTTAGAGGCGTGTGTACTTGGTGGGCCCTGGGGGGGGGGGGGACATTTAGAGGCGTGTGTACTTGGTGGGCCCTGGGGGGGGGACATTTAGAGGCGTGTGTACGTGGTGGGGTGGGGGGGGGTGACATTTAGAGGCGTGTGTACGTGGTGGGGTGGGGGGGGGTGACATTTAGAGGCGTGTGTACTTGGTGGGCCCTGGGGTGGGGGGGGGAGACATTTAGAAGCGTGTGTACTTGGTGGGCCCTGGGGGGTGACATTTAGAGGCGTGTGTACTTGGTGGGCCCTGGGAGGTGACATTTAGAGGTGTGTGTACTTGGTTGGCCCTGGGGTGGGGGAGACATTTAGAGGTGTGTGTACTTGGTGGGCCCTGGGAGGGGGGAGACATTTAGAGGTGTGTGTACTTGGTGGGCCCTGGGGGGGAGACATTTAGAGGTGTGTGTACTTGGTGGGCCCTGGGAGGGGGGAGACATTTAGAGGTGTGTGTACTTGGTGGGCCCTGGGGGGGGGAGACATTTAGAGGTGTGTGTACTTGGTGGGCCCTGGGGGGGGGGAGACATTTAGAGGTGTGTGTACTTGGTGGGCCCTGGGGTGGGGGAGACATTTAGAGGTGTGTGTACTTGGTGGGCCCTGGGGGGGGGGAGACATTTAGAGGCGTGTGTACTTGGTGGGCCCTGGGGGGAGACATTTAGAGGCGTGTGTACTTGGTGGGCCCTGGGGGGAGACATTTAGAGGTGTGTGTACTTGGTGGGCCCTGGGGGGGGGAGACATTTAGAGGTGTGTGTACTTGGTGGGCCCTGGGGTGGGGGAGACATTTAGAGGTGTGTGTACTTGGTGGGCCCTGGGGGGGGGGAGACATTTAGAGGTGTGTGTACTTGGTGGGCCCTGGGAGGGGGGAGACATTTAGAGGTGTGTGTACTTGGTGGGCCCTGGGGGGGGGGGAGACATTTAGAGGTGTGTGTACTTGGTGGGCCCTGGGGGGAGACATTTAGAGGTGTGTGTACTTGGTGGGCCCTGGGGGGAGACATTTAGAGGCGTGTGTACTTGGTGGGCCCAGGGGGGAGACATTTAGAGGTGTGTGTACTTGGTGGGCCCTGGGAGGGGGGAGACATTTAGAGGTGTGTGTACTTGGTGGGCCCTGGGGGGAGACATTTAGAGGCGTGTGTACTTGGTGGGGTGGGGGGGGGTGACATTTAGAGGCGTGTGTACGTGGTGGGGTGGGGGGGGGGTGACATTTAGAGGCGTGTGTACGTGGTGGGGTGGGGGGGGAGACATTTAGAGGCGTGTGTACGTGGTGGGGTGGGCGGGGGGGTGACATTTAGAGGCGTGTGTACTTGGTGGGCCCTGGGGTGGGGGGGGGAGACATTTAGAGGCGTGTGTACTTGGTGGGCCCTGGGGGGTGACATTTAGAGGCGTGTGTACTTGGTGGGCCCTGGGAGGTGACATTTAGAGGTGTGTGTACTTGGTGGGCCCTGGGGTGGGGGAGACATTTAGAGGTGTGTGTACTTGGTGGGCCCTGGGAGGGGGGAGACATTTAGAGGTGTGTGTACTTGGTGGGCCCTGGGGGGTGACATCTAGAGGCGTGTGTACGTGGTGGGGTGGGGGGTGACATTTAGAGGCGTGTGTACGTGGTGGGGTGGGGGGGGTGACATTTAGAGGCGTGTGTACTTGGTGGGCCCTGGGGGGGGAGACATTTAGAGGCGTGTGTACTTGGTGGGCCCTGGGGCGGGGGGGAAATTTAGAGGCGTGTGTACTTGGTGGGCACTGGGGGGAGACATTTAGAGGTGTGTGTACTTGGTGGGCCCTGGGGTGGGGGAGACATTTAGAGGTGTGTGTACTTGGTGGGCCCTGGGGTGGGGGAGACATTTAGAGGTGTGTGTACTTGGTGGGCCCTGGGGTGGGGGAGACATTTAGAGGTGTGTGTACTTGGTGGGCCCTGGGGGGAGACATTTAGAGGCGTGTGTACTTGGTGGGCCCTGGGGGGAGTCATTTAGAGGCGTGTGTACTTGGTGGGCACTGGGGGGAGACATTTAGAGGTGTGTGTACTTGGTGGGCCCTGGGGGGAGTCATTTAGAGGCGTGTGTACTTGGTGGGCACTGGGGGGAGACATTTAGAGGTGTGTGTACTTGGTGGGCCCTGGGGTGGGGGAGACATTTAGAGGCGTGTGTACTTGGTGGGCCCTGGGGTGGGGGAGACATTTAGAGGTGTGTGTACTTGGTGGGCCCTGGGGTGGGGGAGACATTTAGAGGCGTGTGTACTTGGTGGGCCCTGGGGTGGGGGAGACATTTAGAGGTGTGTGTACTTGGTGGGCCCTGGGGTGGGGGAGACATTTAGAGGCGTGTGTACTTGGTGGGCCCTGGGGTGGGGGAGACATTTAGAGGCGTGTGTACTTGGTGGGCCCTGGGGGGAGACATTTAGAGGTGTGTGTACTTGGTGGGCCCTGGGGTGGGGGTGACATTTAGAGGCGTGTGTACCTGGTGGGCCCTGGGGGGAGACATTTAGAGGTGTGTGTACTTGGTGGGCCCTGGGGTGGGGGAGACATTTAGAGGCGTGTGTACTTGGTGGGCCCTGGGGTGGGGGAGACATTTAGAGGTGTGTGTACTTGGTGGGCCCTGGGAGGGGAGACATTTAGAGGCGTGTGTACTTGGTGGGCCCTGGGGGGGGGAGACATTTAGAGGTGTGTGTACTTGGTGGGCCCTGGGGGGAGACATTTAGAGGCGTGTGTACTTAGTGGGCCCTGGGGGGGGGAGACATTTAGAGGCGTGTGTACTTGGTGGGCCCTGGGGTGGGGGAGACATTTAGAGGTGTGTGTACTTGGTGGGCCCTGGGGGGGGAGACATTTAGAGGTGTGTGTACTTGGTGGGCCCTGGGGGGAGACATTTAGAGGTGTGTGTACTTGGTGGGCCCTGGGGGGAGACATTTAGAGGCGTGTGTACTTGGTGGGCCCTGGGGGGAGACATTTAGAGGCGTGTGTACTTGGTGGGCCCTGGGGGGGGGGGAGACATTTAGAGGCGTGTGTACTTGGTGGGCCCTGGGGGGGGGAGACATTTAGAGGCGTGTGTACTTGGTGGGCCCTGGGGTGGGGGGGACATTTAGAGGTGTGTGTACTTGGTGGGCCCTGGGGGGAGACATTTAGAGGCGTGTGTACTTGGTGGGCCCTGGGGGGGGGAGACATTTAGAGGCGTGTGTACTTGGTGGGCCCTGGGGTGGGGGAGACATTTAGAGGTGTGTGTACTTGGTGGGCCCTGGGGGGAGACATTTAGAGGCGTGTGTACTTGGTGGGCCCTGGGGGGGGGAGACATTTAGAGGTGTGTGTACTTGGTGGGCCCTGGGGGGAGACATTTAGAGGCGTGTGTACTTAGTGGGCCCTGGGGGGGGGGAGACATTTAGAGGCGTGTGTACTTGGTGGGCCCTGGGGTGGGGGAGACATTTAGAGGTGTGTGTACTTGGTGGGCCCTGGGGGGGGAGACATTTAGAGGTGTGTGTACTTGGTGGGCCCTGGGGGGAGACATTTAGAGGTGTGTGTACTTGGTGGGCCCTGGGGGGAGACATTTAGAGGCGTGTGTACTTGGTGGGCCCTGGGGGGAGACATTTAGAGGCGTGTGTACTTGGTGGGCCCTGGGGGGGGGGGGAGACATTTAGAGGCGTGTGTACTTGGTGGGCCCTGGGGGGGGAGACATTTAGAGGCGTGTGTACTTGGTGGGCCCTGGGGGGGGAGACATTTAGAGGCGTGTGTACTTGGTGGGCCCTGGGGGGAGACATTTAGAGGCGTGTGTACTTGGTGGGCCTTGGGGCGGGGGGGGGGAGGGGGAGACATTTATAGGCGTGTGTACTTGGTGGGCCCTGGGGGGGGGAGACATTTAGAGGCGTGTGTACTTGGTGGGCCCTCGGGCGGGGGGGGGAGACATTTAGAGGCGTGTGTACTTGGTGGGCCCTGGGGGGGGAGACATTTAGAGGCGTGTGTACTTGGTGGGCCCTGGGGGGAGACATTTAGAGGCGTGTGTACTTGGTGGGCCCTGGGGGGAGACATTTAGAGGTGTGTGTACTTGGTGGGCACTGGGGGGGGGAGACATTTAGAGGCGTGTGTACTTTGTGGGCCCTGGGGGGGGGGAGACATTTAGAGGCGTGTGTACTTGGTGGGCACTGGGGGGGGGAGACATTTAGAGGCGTGTGTACTTTGTGGGCCCTGGGGCGGGGGGGGGAGACATTTAGAGGCGTGTGTACTTGGTGGGCCCTGGGGGGGGGGAGACATTTAGAGGCGTGTGTACTTGGTGGGCCCTGTGGGGGGGGAGACATTTAGAGGTGTGTGTACTTTGTGGGCCCTGGGGGGGGGAGACATTTAGAGGCGTGTGTACTTGGTGGGCCCTGGGGGGGGGGGGGGGGAGACATTTAGAGGTGTGTGTACTTGGTGGGCCCTGGGGGGGGGAGACATTTAGAGGCGTGTGTACTTGGTGGGCACTGGGGGGGGGAGACATTTAGAGGTGTGTGTACTTGGTGGGCCCTGGGGGGAGACATTTAGAGGCGTGTGTACTTGGTGGGCCCTGGGGGGGGAGACATTTAGAGGCGTGTGTACTTGGTGGGCCCTGGGGGGGGGGAGACATTTAGAGGCGTGTGTACTTGGTGGGCCCTGGGGGGAGACATTTAGAGGTGTGTGTACTTGGTGGGCCCTGGGGGGAGACATTTAGAGGCGTGTGTACTTGGTGGGCCCTGGGGGGGGGGGAGACATTTAGAGGCGTGTGTACTTGGTGGGCCCTGGGGGGAGACATTTAGAGGTGTGTGTACTTGGTGGGCCCTGGGGGGAGACATTTAGAGGCGTGTGTACTTGGTGGGCCCTGGGGGGAGACATTTAGAGGTGTGTGTACTTGGTGGGCCCTGGGGGGAGACATTTAGAGGCGTGTGTACTTTGTGGGCCCTGGGGGGAGACATTTAGAGGCGTGTGTACTTGGTGGGCCCTGGGGGGAGACATTTAGAGGTGTGTGTACTTGGTGGGCCCTGGGAGGTGACATTTAGAGGTGTGTGTACTTTGTGGGCCCTGGGGGGAGACATTTAGAGGTGTGTGTACTTGGTGGGCCCTGGGGGGAGACATTTAGAGGCGTGTGTACTTGGTGGGCCCTGGGGGGAGACATTTAGAGGCGTGTGTACTTGGTGGGCCCTGGGGGGAGACATTTAGAGGCGTGTGTACTTGGTGGGCCCTGGGGGGAGACATTTAGAGGCGTGTGTACTTGGTGGGCCCTGGGGGGAGACATTTAGAGGCGTGTGTACTTGGTGGGCCCTGGGGGGAGACATTTAGAGGCGTGTGTACTTGGTGGGCCCTGGGGGGAGACATTTAGAGGCGTGTGTACGTGGTGGGGTGGGGGGGGGAGTCATTTAGAGGCGTGTGTACCTGGTGGGCCCTGGGGGGGGGAGTCATTTAGAGGCGTGTGTACTTGGTGTACCTGGGGGGGGGAGTCATTTAGAGGCGTGTGTACTTGGTGGGCCCTGGGGGGGGGAGTCATTTAGAGGCGTGTATACTTGGTGTACCTGGGGGGGAGTCATTTAGAGGCGTGTGTACTTTGTGGGCCCTGGGGGGGGGAGACATTTAGAGGCGTGTGTACTTGGTGGGCCCTGGGGGGGGAGAGATTTAGAGGCGTGTGTACTTTTGGGGCCCTTGATGATAGTTAAAGACGTGTGTTTGCCGACACCTTTTACAAATGTCATTTCAATAGACCTGCATTCAAGGTGTGCAAAGACCTAGATTTCACAATGGCGTGGGTTGCATAAATCAAAACCAACATGTATGAGTGAATGGACTCACCAATATGTATGAGTGTTTGAATTAATGGATGAACTGGCCATCATTTGTAGATATATGAATGAATTCTCATCAATATCAGCATGAATGTATAAACGAACTCATCAAAATATGTTCCCTTGTGAATGATTGAAGACATCAGTGAGTGTTTATGTGTGATTGTAGCCACTCACCAAACGTCACAATCATGTTACTCCAATTTAAAACCGGATGTTTCCGGTCGGCCAGTCTCTTCTGCTCGGCGTCCAGCAAGCTGTCGAAGTAATCCTTGGCCAGCTTAGAAATGTCCACGTGAAGCTCATCCGCCATCTTCCTCTACCGCAACGCGTGACCTTGACAGTGACTCTTGGATTTCAAGGCTACCGAGGGGTAAAGGTTAGATACAAGTGCTAGTATAGCAGCACCAGTAACATAGCAGTAATCAGGGGCGGAACTACCATACCGCCAGACCCCGCAATGCGGGGGGGGGGGGGGGGCCAGGACGTTTAGAGGCCCAGTTCCGACCAAAAAACAATGCATTTTTTTTTTCAAAAATTATGTTTTCATGCATCTTGAAAATGGTTTTGTAAAAAAAAAAAAAAACAGGTCTACTATAGCAGAGATTGTTGCGTAGAAAAATATTTTTAAATCTACAAGAGCTATAGTTTGAAAGTAGGTAAACATTCACACTACTTCCATGACTTCTTTAAAATAGGGATGCCCACAAAGCTCATTTAAATAATTTTGTACTATGTATATTAAAAAGCAATTGATTCTCTGAATTGTTACTTAAATAAGTCGTACTATACAATAGTATAGCTATAAAAATCAATGTTTTCAAAATTGATATTATAAAAGCCAAAAATGAAAAAAATAAACATAACGCGAGAAACCATTCACGAATTAAGCTAACGTCTTTATATATTTTTGACCAGCATATTTAAGACACCACCTTTGGCTTCAAATGAGTTTGAACTAAATTTTTTCTGTTTTGTTCTCTCAGAATGGTTATATATTGCAATGAAGTAGACTAAATTACTCAGTTAGGATATATATATATATATATATATATATATATATATATATATATATATATATATATATATATATATATATATATATATTATATATATATATAGGGGCCCTAGATTTTTCTTTGCGGGGGAGCCTTTGATTTCTAGTTCCGCCACTGGCAGTAATCGTTATGGTTGAACAATTTCTAGTTGACAGACTTGGTGGAGAGCCACGAGTGAGCCAACGTTTCCTTATATATATATATATATATATATATATATATATATATATATATATATATATATATATATATATAGCCTGGTCTTAGCCTTGGCTTCAGTCTTACCCTAGACTTGGCTATAACCCTAATCCCAACGTCACAATATTTCGATATTAGCAATAGGTACTAGATGGGGATCTTAACCCTAAATCTGTTTTATCTTTCCGGTGGTACGATTAGACATAGATCTAGAACTATTTTTTAAATGTAGATTTAGATTCTACGTCGTCAGAGTTCATCTCGTCCCTTAGACCTAGATAGGTCCTAGAACTAGAAATTGCATTTAGAAATCTAGATTTAATTTCTAGATAAATTAATCTACTCAAACCTTGATCACTGGGAACATTATTTCGGAGATAAATAAACATAATTAATTAATTATTAAGATTTAATGTAAAAAGATTTAATGTAAAACATTTGTTTTACCAATTATAAAAAAAATTAAGCTTTCTCTAATGAAGTTCTCTAACTTGTGCATTTGTGTATGACTGTACCTTGTATTCGTTCTAACGCTATTTTATTTTAATCGTTCGTAAATGGTGCTAAAATGTGCCAGTTTTTATTTGAAAAGTTGTGCAATATATTAGATCTATGGAGGTGTGAAATTTAACAAAGTTTGTGCTTTGTTTTCACCGTACCCTTTGTTTTTATCTTTGTTAAATGTATGTTTACTGGTGTGAAAAGATGCCGTGTCTGTTCATGTGAAAGTCTGTTACAAATGTGCTCTGATTTGCCAATGCTATTGTGTGCTGTGTAAAGGTAAGGGATGGTGTGTTACAACGTGCAATGATGTGCTGTTATATGCTTTTTACTGTTTTATAAGCTCTTTCTGATGTCCCACAGTCCGTTTGTTTACAAAAGAGCAAATAAATATGTAAACCTAGTAGCGATTGGTCAAATCAGTCAGGTGAGCTACAGTTCACGAATGTTGTTTACAAGCTTTCGCGACACAACGCTAGACAGGTCTCGCCTGTACAATAGCAGATAAAAACAAAGATATGTCGCCACGGTATCAGGTAAACCTAAACTTTTTGTTAGAAAAGCATACAAAGAATTGATATGGTATTAACTGCTTCTAAAAATTCAGCCAGCTTTGTTGATGTGTGATATCAAGTACTGGCTAGCTTTGTTGATGTGTGATATCAAGTACTGGCTAGCTTTGTTGATGTTTGATATCAAGTACTGGCTAGCTTTGTTGATGTGTGATATCAAGTACTGGCTAGCTTTGTTGAGGTGTGATATCAAGTACTGGTTAGCTTTGTTGATGTTTGATATCAAGTACTGGCTAGCTTTGTTGATGCCCATAAACCAGTTCCATTTTTTATTTGAACTGTTTCATTGTTAACTGCTTCATGATCATGCCGGCTCACAGTCTGCTTAGATTGAGTTAAATTATGTGCTCACCTACACCTGCCCAGGTGTTTCAATGTCTACGTGTTAGGTGTTTCTTGCAGACTTTTTTATCCGGGGGGGGGGGCACTTGATATATGCACGGGGGGGGGGGCGGACACTGGTAAAATTATGTTTTCTATGTAAATTCCATTTCGTTCGGGGGGGATGGAGGTTGAGATGCCTGGAAGAAACTCTGGGTTCAATATGTACTTGTTCAGGTGCTTTAGTGTGTACGTGTTCATGTGTTTCTCTGGTTCTGTCCTTACTTTGACGCGAGAAGGACGAGTCTAGAGTTAAACGAAATTTTCATGACGTTAAGCACAAGCGAGAGATTGACATAAAAACACAAATCTACAAAAATCTTTTTTATTTTTTCTAATCAAAATACACATTGGAAACTACAAAAATCTAACCGTGATCAAAAGAAACATTTGGTGAACAGCGAGACCTACACGTGATACCCAGAGTACCACGTGACCTAGCTAAAGACCAGCTGATCAAACTCCCTCCTGGGCACGTTGCTCTCCCTGACCCGGACGAACTGCTCCACGCCGTAGCGGCACTTGCACCTGCCCTTGACCAGGAAGGTCGGCCGGTTCCGGTTGTCCATGAGGAATCCTTTGTCCGGCGTGAAGATGGAGCTGACCACGTCCTGGAAAGAGTCGATGACCTCATTGTTTTTCTTGTCGTAGTACGTGACAATCACCTGACCGGAAGTGACATCATGCAGGATTTTAACACAGTGTGACCAAAACACGTTCGATATGAAGCAGATCTAATGACTACGTGATATATCAAAACAAACCATACGAACTAGGCACTGCACACTGACCAGCTACCACCCACTGACCAACTAGTGACCAGCTACTGACCACAGCCCAACTACCACCCACAGCCCAGCTAGAACCCACAGCCCAGCTAGAACCCACAGCCCAGGTAGAACCCACTGACCAGCTACCACCCACTGACCAACTAGTGACCAGCTACTGACCACAGCCCAACTACCACCCACAGCCCAGCTAGAACCCACAGCCCAGCTAGAACCCACAGCCCAGCTAGAACCCACAGCCCAGGTAGAACCCACTGACCAGCTACCACCCACTGACCAACTAGTGACCAGCTACTGACCACAGCCCAACTACCACCCACAGCCCAGCTAGAACCCACAGCCCAGCTAGAACCCACAGCCCAGCTAGAACCCACAGCCCAGGTAGAACCCACTGACCAGCTACCACCCACTGACCAACTAGTGACCAGCTACTGACCACAGCCCAACTACCACCCACAGCCCAGCTAGAACCCACAGCCCAGCTAGAACCCACAGCCCAGCTAGAACCCACAGCCCAGCTAGAACCCACAGCCCAGGTAGAACCCACAGCCAAGGTAGAATCCACTGACCAGCTACCACCCACTGACCAGCCATCACCCAATGACCAGCTACTGAGCACAGCCCAGCCACCCACTGACAACCCACTGACCAGCTAGAACCCACTGACCAGCTAGTGACCAAGACTTACCACGCCATCGAAGGTGGTGAGCATCTCAAAGTCCCCGTCGTACATGTCCTCCTGGACGACCATCTCGACCCTGATGGAGTGGCCAGGCTCGACCTCCAGTCTGGTGTCCAGTCGCCAGATCAGCTCGTGCTCGGTGATAGCCTTGGTGCCTGTAGGACGACACGTCAGACAACTCATCTGTCATATAGCACATATGTCGTATAATACATCAGCCATGAGATCCCCCCCCAACCCTCCCTCTACAACTACTGGACATATTTACTTTTCTCTGTCCTGACTTCAGCCTTGAGACCCCCCCCCCTCTACAACTACTGGACATATTTACTTTTCTCCGTCCTGACTACAGCCTTGAGACCCCCCCCCCCCCTCTACAACTACTGGACATATTTACTTTTCTCTGTCCTGACTTCAGCCTTGAGCCCCCCCCCCCCCCTCTACAACTACTGGACATATTTACTTTTCTCTGTCCTGACTTCAGCCTTGAGACCCCCCCCCTCTACAACTACTGGACATATTTACTTTTCTCCGTCCTGACTTCAGCCTTGAGACCCCCCCCCCCCCTCTACAACTACTGGACATATTTACTTTTCTCTGTCCTGACTTCAGCCTTGAGACCCCCCCCCCCTCTAAAACTACTGGACATATTTACTTTTCTCTGTCCTGACTTCAGCCTTGAGACCCCCCCCCCCTCTACAACTACTGGACATATTTACTTTTCTCTGTCCTGACTTCAGCCTTGAGACCCCCCCCCCTCTACAACTACTGGACATATTTACTTTTCTCTGTCCTGACTTCAGCCTTGAGCCCCCCCCCCCTCTACAACTACTGGACATATTTACTTTTCTCCGTCCTGACTTCAGCCTTGAGACCCCCCCCCTCTACAACTACTGGACATATTTACTTTTCTCTGTCCTGACTTCAGCCTTGAGACCCCCCCCCCCTCTACAACTACTGGACATATTTACTTTTCTCTGTCCTGACTTCAGCCTTGAGCCCCCCCCCCCCTCTACAACTACTGGACATATTTACTTTTCTCCGTCCTGACCTCAGCCTTGAGCCCCCCCCCCCTCTACAACTACTGGACATATTTACTTTTCTCCGTCCTGACCTCAGCCTTGAGCCCCCCCCCCCCCTCTACAACTACTGGACATATTTACTTTTCTCTGTCCTGACTTCAGCCTTGAGCCCCCCCCCCTACAACTACTGGACATATTTACTTTGTCCTAACTTCAGCCTTGAGACCCCCCCCCCCCCTACAACTACTGGACATATTTACTTTTCTCTGTCCTGACTTCAGCCTTGAGCCCCCCCCCCCCCCCCCCTACAACTACTGGACATATTTACTTTGTCCTAACTTCAGCCTTGAGACCCCCCCCCCCCTCTAAAACTACTGGACATATTTACTTTTTTCTGTCCTGACTTCAGCCTTGAGACCCCCCCCCCTACAACTACTGGACATATTTACTTTTTTCTGTCCTGACTTCAGCCTTGAGACCCCCCCTCTACAACTACTGGACATATTTACTTTTCTCTGTCCTGACTTCAGCCTTGAGCCCCCCCCCCCCCTACAACTACTGGACATATTTACTTTTTTCTGTCCTGACTTCAGCCTTGAGACCCCCCCCTCTACAACTACTGGACATATTTACTTTTCTCTGTCCTGACTTCAGCCTTGAGCCCCCCCCCCCCCCCTACAACTACTGGACATATTTACTTTTTTCTGTCCTGACTTCAGCCTTGAGACCCCCCCTCTACAACTACTGGACATATTTACTTTTCTCTGTCCTGACTTCAGCCTTGAGACCCCCCCCCCCTCTACAACTACTGAACATATTTACTTTTCTCTGTCCTGACTTCAGCCTTGAGACCCCCATTTGCCTTGACCACAGAGTCCGGTGCCTTGATGTCCAGTTCGACGTTGCCGCTGTAGGTGAAGATCTTGCCGAGGTTGATCTCTGACGTCGATGTGGTCATCCTCTTGGTGCGGAGCTTGTAGGTCTGGGCGGAGGGGGTCGTGTTGTCAAAGGTCGCGGTAAACACCACATTCGTGTTGGGCATCTTGGGGGTGTCGCGTCTGGTGTACTTGGTGGGACCTAACGGTGACAACACATTGACCTAAGGGTGACAACACATGGACCTAAGGGTGACAACACATTGACCTAAAGGTGACAGCAGCGTGACCTAAAGGTGACTAGGGCGTGATCTAAAGGTGACTACAGCGTGATCTAAAGGTGACAATAGAGGCCCTGTAGGCGACCACATAATTGGGCAAAGATAAGTTTAATTAACAGTGCATGGACTTACAGGTGATAATATAGAATGTATTAGCGTATTCAATGTCACCTTCACAACGTGATCTTCCCACCTGAGTGACACCCACACCTAGATGACAGCCACACACCACACACAAATAGATGACAGCCACACACAAATAGATGACAGCCGCACATCCACGTGACAACCACACCTATATGTTAGTCACACATCCACACGCCCCACACACCTAGATGACAGCCACACATCCACCCGCCCCACACACCTAGATGACAGCCACACATCCACCCGACCCACACACCTAGATGACAGCCACACA